CAAAGAATGAGAAAAATATCAATCAAGGTTGAATACAATTAATACATTAAAACTACTGGAATATTTTAGGGACGCCTGGGTGGCTCAGTCAGTTAAGTGACTAACTCTTGATTTCAGCTTGGGTCATGATCTGGTTCTTAGGATTGAATCCCACACAGGACTTTGCACTGATAGTGCAGAGCCTAGATGGGATTCTGTCCCTCTCTCTCTTTCTACTCCTCCCCCACTTATGTGTTCTCTCTCTAAATAAACACTAAAAAAAATTGAATATTTTAAAAATAAAATTGATAAATTGAAGAGCTGCTTTCTTAGGGGTAAGGGACTAATACTAACTCTATACTAATCAAATTGGAGAAAAGGGGAGATTACTTCCTGGGGCTGAAAATTAGCAAGCAAAAAAAGTTTTTACTAATAAACCCATTTATTTTACCCTTAAAGCTTCAGGTTTGGTGACAAATGTGTATTGTGGGCCCTAGTTTATTAGCACAGAACTCAGAGAATTACTCCTCCTTTGTATCATATTGCCTTAAAATTTTAATTTTAGTAAATTACTGTCATTATTTAAGCATTAACTTTTGTTTGAACTAGAAAGCAAAGTATCCATTCTTTATAAAAACAGGATATATTACACTGTATCTATTTACAAAAATATCCTTTCAACAATATTACAGAAATCACACAAAAATCCAATAAATAAAACCATCTTATGGTTTCATGTCATTTCATGACATCTTATGATGTCATTTTAAAATGAGGAAGATAAGCCAAGAAGATGAAGTAAGTAACATAAAACTCCAGAGCTAAGAACCCCAGTCTCATGGTTCCCGGTCTACTTTTTTAAAGCACTGCAGGGGCGCCTGGGTGGCGCAGTCGGTTAAGCGTCCGACTTCAGCCAGGTCACGATCTCGCGGTCCGTGAGTTCGAGCCCCGCGTCGGGCTCTGGGCTGATGGCTCAGAGCCTGGAGCCTGTTTCCGATTCTGTGTCTCCCTCTCTCTCTGCCCCTCGCCCGTTCATGCTCTGTCTCTCTCTGTCCCAAAAATAAATAAACGTTGGAAAAAAAAAATTTAAAAAAATAAAATAAAATAAAGCACTGCATAATTGCTCCCCACATACAAATCAAAAAAATTATCCTAAAAAGTTTGTAAAATATTAGACTCTCTGGTTCCAAAGTTTTCTGATCATCAGATACAAAATTTGAGACACATATTTGCAAACCACATGATATTCTGTTAGAAAACATGAAAGACCACCAAAAAAATTGCTAGAATACATGAACTCAGCAAAGTTGCAAAACATAAAATCAACGTACAGAAATCTCTTGCCATTTCTATATGCCAACAATGAAGCAGCGGAAAAAGAAATCAAGAAATCATTCCCATTTGCAATTGCACAAAAAAACATAAGATAACTAGGAATAAACCTAACCAAAGAGGTAAAAGATTTATACTCTGAAAACTATAGAAAACTTATGAAAGAAATTAAAGAGGACACAAAGGAATGGAAAAACATACTACGCTCATGGATTAGAACACTGTTAAAATGTCTACACTACTCAAAGCAATCTACACATTTAATACAATCCCTGTCAAAATACCACCAGCATATTTTGCAGAGCTAGAACAAACAATCCTAAAATTTGTATGGAACCACAAAAGACCTTGAATAGCCAAAGCAATCCTGAAAAAGAAAAATAAAACTGGAGGCATCATCATTCTGGATTTCTAGCTGTATTACAAATCTGTAGTCCTTGAGACAGTATGGTACTGGCACAAAAACAGACACACAGATCAATGGAACAGAACAGAACCCCCAAAATGGACCCACAACTATATGGTCAACTATACCCAACGGAAAAAAATGGTACTGGGAAAGCTGGATACTAACATGCACAAGAATGAAACAGGACTAGTTTCTTACATAATACACAAAAATAAATTCAAATGGATGAAAGACTTAAATGTGAGACAGGAAACAATCAAAATCCTCGAGGAAAACCCAGACAGGAACCTCTTTGACCTCCACTGCAACAAATTCTTACTGGACACATTGCTGAAGGCAAGGGAAACAAAAGCAAACATGAACTATGGAGACTTCATCAAGATAAAAAGCTTCTGCACAGTGAGGGAAACAATCAACAAAACTAAAAGGCAGGCTACAAAATGGGAGAAAAGAGGGGAGGGGCCGACATGGTAGGGAAACGGGGCTCCGAAGTTCCCTCATCTCACAAACAAACCAGTGTTGAAGCTAAAGGACTTTGAACTCTGAGAGTCTGGGAGGAAAAGAGACAGTCGTGCTTCCAGGCACCCACTGGGACAATCCGATGGGCCATAGGTGCATGATTGCAAACCCGGAGAGAGAAAACGAAGGAGGGGAGGGATCCCCTTCTGCGGAGAGACAAAGGGAAGAGCAAGAGTGGCTGAGGAAGCTTAGGACTGTATCTGGACAAGAAAAAAACAAAACAAAACAAAACAAAAACATGGATCAGGAAGGCGAAAGAGCCAATCTCTAACTGAGGGGCTTTCTCCAGACAAGGGACTGGGGCTGGCTGCCCATATGGTGCACCTGGGGAAAAGGGGAGCCAGCCCCAGGCTCAGTGGCTAGGTCAGGGGTGCAGTCCTCAGTAGGAGAAAGCAATCTTCTCCCTGCAGTGCTGTGGGACAGGGCAGGTCCCCCTGCAGCCGCAGCTGGGGACCACATATTGGGTGGCGCACAGCTGTGCTTCCCCAGTACCAGGGCACACGGACAGGAGTTTGAACCCCAGCCAAGCACTGGGGCTTGGGAGTAGGTGGAGCAGGACAAACTGACTCGTTTTTGCCCATGGCACTGTGAGGACGGCTCGAACAGAGTGGTTTGGCTCACTGGGTCCATGGAGGAGAGACTGGGATGTCACTATTTTTCTCCCCATCACCAACAAGGGGGGACTTCAGCAAAGGGCCAGTGGGGCCCACAGAGGAGGCGGGACCCGCCTACACCAAACCACACCCCTCTGCGCCTGCTAACTGCCTATCTACTGGAGCAGGATTGATACTGATGAACCAGACGGCCTCTTCTCCAGACCAGCGCTGTTGCATTGCCTGATCTAATTCTCAGACATTTATTATATAGATATATTCTTCCTTCCTTTTCTCCTTCTCATCTCTTCCCTCCTCTACTCTGGTTACTCTAAATATGTCTTTAAACAAACCAAAACCAATCTATTCTCTTGATACATGTTCTATACTTCCTTCTTTATTCTCCTTTCTCTCTCTCTGGATTAAACCATATAGTTTCTCTGTCTGGGTAACTATTTTCTTTTTCTTTTTCCAAGTGTCGTCTTTATTTTCCCTTCTCTCTCTCTGGATTAAGCCATATAGTTTGTCTGGTCAGTTCTTATTCTTTCTTTTTCCCTACTCCTATCATTTCTCTCTTTGTATGGGATAAGGCCTCTTCCATCAGCACCACCTCCACCCTGTTGTTTATTAGTAGTTGGTGTTTCTGGTTTTTTGTTTTTGGGTTGTGTGTTCAAGTGTTTTTGTTTTCTGTTTGTTTTTGTTTGTTTTCCTTTCCAGGGCTACTTCAAGGAACAAATCAAAGCACATCTAGTGAAGGGTTCAAAATATCACTAAGAGCAGGGAGACAAAGTAGCCAAACTCACAACAATAGAGAGCAAGTAGCACTCTCCAAAAAAACACCTCCTATAGGGCCAGGCCCTGGACAATGTATGACCGCCCTTTAATATAGCAGTGCTTGCAGGTACAGGACACATACAAAGCTTAAAACACATAAGGGACAGAAAACTAGCCAAAATGACAAAATGGAAGAATTCTCCTCAAAAGAAATTCCAGGAAAAAATGACAGCTAAAGAATTGCTCAAAACAGATATAAACAATATGACTGAACAAGAATTTAGAATAATAGTCATAAGATTAATTGCTGGTACTTGAAAAAAACATAGACACCAGAGAATCTATTGCTGCAGAGATCAAAGAACTAAAAAATAGTCATGATGTATTTAAAAAAATCTGTAATGAGGTGCAAAATAAACTAGAGACGGCAAAAACCAGAATTGAAGAGGCAGAGGGGAGAATAGTAAAATTATGGAAAAAGATGAAGCTGAGAAAAAGATGAAAAAAATTCTGGATCACAAGGGGAGAATTAGAGAATTAAGTGACTCAATGAAACAGAACAACATCCATATCGCAGGAGTTCCAGAAGAAGAAGAAGAAGAAGAGAGAGAGAGAAGGGGGCCTAAGATGTGCTTGAACAAATCATAGCTGAGAACTTCCCCAATCTGGGGAAGCAAACAGACGTTGAAATCCAGGAGGCACAGAGAACTCCCTTCAGACGTAATTTGAATTGATCTTTTGCAAGACATATCAGAGTGAAACTGGCAAAACACAAAGATAAAGAGAGAACTCTGAAAGCAGCTGGGGATAAATGGGCCTTAACCTGTAAGGATAGACAGACACATAAGGGTAGTAGCAGATCTATCTACTGAAAATTGACAGAAAGGAGTGGCAGGAAATTTTCAAAGTGATGAATAGGAAAAATATGCAGCCAAGAATCTTTTATCCAGCAAGCCTGTCATTCAGAATAGAAGGACAGATAAAGGTTTTCCCAAACAAACAAAAACTAAAGGAATTCATCAGGACTAAACCAGCCACACAAGAGATCCTAAGGGGGACTCTGTGAGTACTGCAAAGATCACAAAGGACCAGAGACACCACTACAAGCATGAAACCTACAGATAACATGATGACTCTCAATGCATATTTTTCATTAATAACACTGAATGTAAATGGACTAAATGTTCCAATCAAAAGACATAGGGTATCAGAATGCATAAAAAAACAAGACCCATTCTATTCTTTGTCTATAAGAGACTCATTTTAGACCTGAGGGCACCTTCAGATTGAAAGTGAGGGGATGGAGAACTATCAAGAAAGCTGGAGTAGCCAAACTTATATCAGACAAACTGGACTTTAAATTAAAGGCTGTAACAAGAGATGAAGAAGGGCACAGTCTATCCATCAGGAAGAGCTAACAATTAGAAATGTTTATGCACCGAATTCAGTAACACTCAAATATATAAAACAATTAATCACAAACCTAAGCAATCTTATTGGTAAGAATGTGGTAATTGCAGGGGACTTTAATACTCCACTTACAACAATGGACAGATCATCTAGACAGAAAATCAATAAGAAACAATGGTCCTCAATGATACACTGGAGCAGATGGACTTGACAGATAAATTTAGAACTTTTCATCCAAAAGCAGCAGAATAAACATTCTTCTTGAGTGCACATGGAACATTCTCCAAGATAGATCACATACTGGTTCACAAAACAGCCCTCAATAAATACAAAAGAATTGAGATCATACCATGCACTTTCAGATCACAATGCTATGAAACCTGAAATCAACCACAGGAAAAAGTTTGGAAAACCTCCAAACGCATGGAGGTTAAAGGACATCCTACTAAAGAATGAATGGGTCAACCAGGCAATTAAAGAAGGAATTAAAAAAATATATGGAAACAAATGAAAATGAAAACACAACAATCCAAACCCTTTGAGATGCAGCAAAAGTAGTCCTAAGAGAAAAATACATTGCAATCCAGGCCTACCTCAAGAAACAAGAAAAATCCCAAATACAAAATCTAACAGCACACCAGAAGGAACTAGAAGCAGGACAACAAAAAACCCCAAACCCAGCAGAAGAAGAGAAATAATAAAGGTCAGAGCAGAAATAAACAATATAGAATCCAAAAATAAAAATAAAAATAAAAATAAAACAGTAGAACAGATCAATGAAACTAAGAGTTGGTTTTTTGAAGAAATAAACAAAATTGATAACCCCTAGCCAGACTTCTCAAAAAGAGAGAAGACCCAAATAGATAAAATCACGAATGAAAATGGATTTATCACAGCCAATCCCTCAGAAATACAAGAAATTATCAGAGAATACTTTGAAAAATTATATGCCAACAAACAGGACAAGCTGGAAGAAATGGGACAAATTCCAAGACACCCACACACTACCAAAATTCAAACAGGAAGAGAAAATTTGAACAGACCCCAAACTAATGAAGAAATTGAATCAGTTATCAAAAATCTCCCAACAAATAAGGGCTCTGGATCAGATGGCTTCCCTGGAAAATTCTAACAGACATTTAAAGCAGAGTTAATACCCATCCATCTCAAATTGTTCCACAAAATAAAAATGGAAGAAAAACAGCATTACCTTGATTCCTAAACCAGACAGAGACACCCCGAAAAAGGAGAACTCCAGGCCAATATCCCTGATGAACATAGATACAAAAATTCTCAACAAGATACTAGCAAATCAAATTCAACAGCATATAAAAAGAATTATTCACCATGACCAAGTGGGATTCATTCCTGAGCTGCAGGGCTGGTTCAATATTTGCAAATCAATCAATGTGATACATCACATTAAGAAAGGATAAGAACCATATGATGCTGTCAATAGATGCAGAAAAAGCATTTGACAAAATACAACATCCTTTCTTAATAAAAACCATCAAGAAAGGAACATACTTAACATCATAAAAGCCATGTATGAAAAGCCCACAGCTAATATCATCCTCAATGGGGAAAAACTGAGAGCTTTCCCCCTGAGATCAGGAACATGACAGGGATGTCCACTCTCACCACTGTTGTTTAACATAGTGTTGGAAGTTCTAGCATCAGCAGACAACAAAAGGAAATAAAAGGCATCAAAATTGGCAAAGAAGTCAAATTTTCACTTTTTGCAGACAACACAATACTCTACATGGAAAACCCCAAAGACTCCATCAAAAGACTCCTAGAACTGATACATGAATTCAGTAAAGTTGCAGGGTACAAAATCAATGTACAGAAATCGGTTGCATTTTTATACACCAATAATGAAGCAACAGAAAGAGAAATAAACGATCCCATTTACAACTGAACCAAGAACCATAAAATACTTAGGAATAAACCTAACCAAAGATATAAAAGACTTGTATGCTGAAAACTATAGGAAGTTCATGAAGGAAACTGAAGAAGACACAAAGAAATGGGAAAACATTCCATGCTCCTGGATTGGAAGAATAAATATTGTTAGTATTTGTTAATAATATATTTGTATATTAATATTTGTTATTATATTTGTATATTAATATGTGTTAGTATTGTTAATATTTGTCAATACTACCCAAAGCAATCTACACATTCAATGCAATCCCAATCAAAATTGCACAGGCATTCTTCTCAAAGCTAGAATGAACAATCCTAAAATGTGTATAGAACCACAAAAGACCCCAAATAGTCAAAGTAATATTGAAGGAGAAAACCAAAGTAGGAGGCATCACAATCCCAGACTTTAGCCTCTAGTACAAAGCTGTAATCATCAACACAGTATGGTATTGGCACAAAAATAGACATACAGACCAATGTAATAGAACCCAGAACTAGACCCACAAATGTACGGCCAACTAATCTCTGACAAAGCAGGAAAGAGCATCCAATGGAAAAAAGGCAGTGTCTTTAGCAAATGGTGCTGGGAGAAATGGACAGCAACATTCAGAAAAATGAAACTAGCCCCCCTTCTTACATCATGCACAAAAATAAACTCAAAATGGATGAAAGACCTAAATGTGAGTTAGGAAACCATGAAAACCCTAGAGGAGAAAGCAGGCTACCTCTTTGATGTCAGCCGCAGCAATTTCTTGTTTGATATATCCCCAAAGGCAAGAGAATTAAATGAAAAAATGAACTATTGGGACCTCATCAAAGTTTCTGCACTGCAAAGGAAATCATCAACAAAACTAAAAGGCAACCAACAGAATGGGAAATGATATTTTCAAATGACATATCAGATAAAGGGCTAGTATCCAAAATCTATAAAGAACTTAACCAAACTCCACACCTGAAAAACAAATAATCCAGCAAAGAAATGGGCAGAATTCTAAAGACATCCAGACAGCCAACAGACACATGAAAAGTGTCACTCATCATTGGGAAACACAAATGAAAGCCACACTGATATACCACCTCACACCAGTCAGAGTGGCTAAAATGAACAAATCAGGTAACTATAGATGCTGGCGAGGATGTGCAAAAACAGGAACCCTCTTGCACTGTTGGTTGGAATGTAAACTGGTGCAGCCGTTCTGGAAAATAGTGTGGAGGTTCCTCAAAAAATTAAAAATAGAGCCACCCTATAACCCAGCAATAGTAACACTAGGAATTTACCCAAGGGATACAGGAGTGATGATGCATAAGGGCCTGTGTACCCCAATGTTTATAGCAGCACTTTCAACAGCCAAATTATGGAAAGAGCCTAAATGTCCATCAACTGATGAATGGATAAAGAAGATGCGGTTTATATATTCAATGGAATACTATTTGGCAATGAGAAAGAATGAAATCTGGCCATTTGCAGCAATGTGGATGGAACTGGAAGGTTTTATGCTGAGTGAAATAAGTCAGTCAGAGGATAGATATATTTTCACTCATATGTGGGTATTGAGAAACTGAACAGAAGACTATAGGGGAAGGGAAGGGGAAAAAAAAAAGATACAAACAGAGAGGGAGGGAGGCAAACCACAAGAGACTATTAAATACAGAGAACAAACTACGGGTGAATGCGGAATGGGGGAGAGGGAAAATGGGTGATGGGCACTGAGGAGGGCACTTGGGATGGGCACTGGGTGCTGTATGTAAGCCAATTTGACAATAAATTATATTCATTAAAAAATGGGAGAAGGTATTTGCAAATGATATATCTAATAAAGTGTTAGTATCCAAAATATATAAAGAACTTATCAAACTCAAAATAACATAGAAGACATGAACACTTTTCCAAAGAAGACATCCAGATGGTTAACAGACACATGAAAAGATGCTCAATATCAGTCATCATCAGGGAAATACATATCAAAACCATGATAAGATACCACCTGGCACATGTCAGAATAGCTAAAATTAACAACACAAGAAACAACTGGTGTTGGTGAGGATGCAGAAAAAGGAGAACCCTCTTGCACTGTTGGCAGGAATGCAAACTGGTGAGGCCACTCTGAGGAAGAGCATGGAGGTTCCTCAAGAAACTAAAAATAGAACTACCCTACAATCCAGCAATGGCACTATAGGTATTTATGCAAAAGATACAAAAGTACAGATTCAAAGGGGCACATGCACCCCAATGTTTATATAGCAGCATTATCAACAATAGCCAACAACAGAGAAAGCCCAAATGTCCATCAACTTATGAATGGATAAAAAAGATGTGGTATACATACACAATGGAATATCACTCATTCATCAAAAAGAATGAAATCTTGCCATTTTCAATAATGTAGATCGAGCTAGAATGTATTATGCCAAATGAAATATGTCAATCAGAGAAAGTCAAATACCATATGATTTCACTCATATGTGGAATTTAAGTAATGAAACAGGTGAGCATATGGGAAAGGGGAGAAGAGAAGGGAGGGAAACAAGCCAATAAGAGAACAAACTATGGCTTGACAGAGGGAAAAGGTTGGTAGTTGGGCTAGATGGGTGATAGGTATTAAGGGCGAGCACTGGGTGTTGTGTGTAAGTGATGAATCACTGAATTCTACTCCTGAAACCAATATTGCACAGTATGTTAACTAAAATTTAAATTAAAAAGTACTGTAAAATAATAAAAAAAATCTGATGCAGAAAGACTAAGTATGTTGGCAATTAGACATCTTTGCCACATTCACCTAAACAATAAGCTTTAAACAGGAGAAATCCAAACCTATCCCCATTCATCAGAACACCCTCAGTGTACCTTTAAACTCTGAAAGTACAATCTAAAAAGCCAGCTTTCTTGGGTTGTGAAGGCCCCTTCCCTCTCATGTCCCAGGATTATAATATCTATAGTTACAGGGAAAGAAGAGTGGCCCTTGGACCTGTTTTGTAGAAGATAAATCATATCACTTATCCAGTTTCAGACTTGGTGCCAGAATTTGCAAGGTCTGTATATTTGCAGATTTCAAGTGCCAATGAAGGCTAACTGAATGGTACAGGGGACATGGCAAATGACAGCTCTTCCCGGTCACCTAATTTAGGAGCTGCTGCCTTAAGAGCTTTAGGGTTATAAAGTAGGAAGAAGGCTTTATGGACAGTAATTAAAAACAAACAAGAAAAGACAGAAA